TAATATAACTTATTATTAACTGATTATTAATTGTTATTAATTAGTTGAATGATTTAATAGTTAGTTTAACACTAGAGGTGTTACTTTTTAATCTGTACCCCTCTGGTCTAGAGCGAAATCCACTGTCATTACACATTTAAAGACCACAAAGACTTGGATCCGTTTATGGAATAAATGATAGCGGGACGATCTGCTGTATCTGAAGGATGGATCTGTGACACAGATCACTTTAGGTAGGCATAGAGGCACTTAACTTTTTTCTAATCTCTCCCATCACGTAGAGATAAACAGCAGCAGGACTGCAGATCCCGAAGACGATGAACCACTGAATACTTTCTTCATAGCTTTAAGACTTTAAAATGCGTTAGCTCGTGAGGATTATCACACGGTGTGATTTAATATCTGCCTCAGGGCAACATAAAAATGCAGTATGGTTTTAGTATTGCTACAGATGTATAAATTTCAATATAGCATATTCTTAAATACATATTGGTAGCACAGGAAAATACTAACGGTAAGAAGTAAAATGAAGTGACAGCCTACCTGTTGTTTGCATCCCATGCATCAAACTAAATGGTCAGGCTGATGTTACAGAGCTTTGTCAAGACTTGCTAATATGAACCTCTGTTTTCTTTTTCTTTCTAGTTTGCTTTTTTAGTGTTGGTGTTAGTCTTCAGATATGAACCAGTTTTTGGTTGTGCAGTCGTGCACAAATATCTTTAAAAGCTTACAGCCTTGGACTTGGTTTTCAAATCCGTTAGGGCCAGAATTTGAACCATTTCTTCATACAAGTAGTCTTCATAGCATAGAACGTGCGCTTTGAGGAGCTTCAGTATTTTCCCGTTGAAAGATGTTGATGCTGTCACTCAGCTTCTCCTCTTGACCCTGTGCCCATCTCCACAGTTCTGTTGCATCTTCAAACCTGCCTTCCCCATGCTTTTATCGTCTCCGAGAGGGCCACGATGGTCTTCGGAGCCTTAGGTGAGGTCTGGTGGGGAAGTCGGGCTTCGGAGCTTCGTGCTTGAGCACACGCAGTTGCCTGCCAAGGTAGACCTGTATCCCCGAGCAGGGGGGCGGTTGTTTGTTCTGTTCTCAGTAAATCTTTCCATCAAGTTTTGTGTTCCTGAGTTGGAAATCTCGGATTTCTCTGCAGATGAGGTTCACAGATTCTTGTTACGAAACTCTCAGTTCTCTTTACAGTGGATAATGCCTCAGAAAATAAATCAGTTAAAGGTTACTGCAGTGTACAGTTTTGTTTGTTATAACTGAATCCAGGCGCGTCACCAGGCTTTAATGAGAGGATTTGTCTCTACCAGATTAGTTTTTTTCCTTGTAACTTATATTCATGAACATTTTACTTTAAAATGCTTCCCATAGGAAACATTAAAGTAGTTAACTTCATTTAAGAAAAATAACTTCTGATATTCAGGCTATGTTGTATTTCATATGCTTTTACCCAGTTGTTAGAAAGTATGCTCTTTGACCACCCTTGCCAAATTCCCAGTGTTGAATTTTAGCATTTTAGTTTGGTTTTTCAACAATTTTCATGTATGTAATAGTGTTATATTATAAGCAGTAGTTAAAAATGATTGTAATTAATACGTGGAATGTTAATTAATAAGTGGAATGAAACACTCCAGACTTCATTTGCTGAGGTCCAAATATGCCTGGAACCGTATATTTTACTTTCATTCCCTTCGCTTAGTTTATATTTTAGGCATCTGAATCCGCAGAGTTGTTCCATATGTTCGTGGCATTCAGGTTGAACACAGGTATGCGGTTTTGCAGGATGAGGGGCCAAGTGCTTAAATATTTTTTTGGTGTATATTTTTTCTCTTTGGCATGACATGTCAGCAGTTGCTTACTAATTAACTGAAGCGCTTCACATCCTGGGACACATGATGGAAATTGGGAAGGATCTGACAGATTGTGAGTTACTCGTATAGTGATAGGATGGTCTCCTTTTTTATTATTATTTTTTATTTGGTGTTTTTCTGAAAACCACAGCTTCTGCAATCAGTTGATTATGTGAGACTGTCGGGAAGGTTGGGCAGGTGAGTCCAAAATACCCCTTAGACTGAGAAAGTCTCAGGGCTTCCCCCAAGGAGACAGGAGTTGGACGCCTTCAGGTGCCCCTGCTTCAGGGTTTCACCGTCTGTAGCACTTGGCGAGTCTGTAGCGCTGGTGATGATAGATGCAAAATGGCAATTTCCCGCTTTAACTGCGAAAATGCAATTTCTCCTCTGTCCCCGAACTTGCTGCAGTTTTCACCTCCTGTTGCTGCTGAAAGCCTTTCGGTTCGAGTTCCCAGCTTAAAAAGCAATTCATAAACTAAACCAAGTCTTTCCCGTTTAAGTTTTTCTAGAGTTTCAAGATACAAAGATATATTTAGGTTTTCTGTCTTTTATAGATTATTGCAATAGTAGAGCGCCTCGTACTGTGATAAAGAAATGAGTCAATGAGTTACTGCTATTAAAAATGGAAAAAAGAGATAGTAAATATTTCAGATATGCAGATAGCTGTCACGTGTATATCAGCCGTGAAACAGAGATTTCCAACCCTTCTGTAGCTGTGATGGTACTGTGTTTGCATCACCTCTTTCGTTGTGAAAGACTGAATTTCTAGTATAGCCCTCCTGTTAGGTGGTATCACCCCTTACTTAGCAACTTTTATTCTGAAAGACCTTTGGACTTTGGTCTTAAAAGGATGCTCGTTTTCTTCCTTCCTGCCCAATTTGTCCTCCTTGCTCGAGGGCGAGTACTCAGGGACTTGGTCAGCCACCTCCTTGCCTCCACCAAAAGCTTGGAGACTACAGGCAGAAAAGAAAAGATGGATTAGAAAAGTAAATTTGGTGGGTGAAAACTTTCAAACAAAAAATCCTGAATTATAGTTCCTCTTTGCTCCCTCACGCACATACATGCACACTTACTTATCTAGAAAAGAGAAGAAAAATATGCCTGTATATGGACTGAAACGGAGAGGAAGGCCAGAGTCCAATGCAGCTGGGAAAAAAATCTCAATTTTTCCCATTCATTGAATTAAAGGGGACTCGCACACACTTTGTGTCTGGAAAAACGCTGTCAAAGTCTCTGTTTCGCCTAATTCTTTCTCTTTTGTTTGTTTTTCTTCGTTCAGGCCAACGTAATAACGCTGTTCAGTAGCCCTGCAATTTTAAAATCATGGTTTAGTTGAGCTTGTACTTCATTTATTTGATAGATTTTCCTCTCTAATGCTGCTTTTCTCTCCCAGTCCTTGACGTATTTTTAAGAGTTCTTATTCACCCTCAACCCTTCGTTAATGCTAGCGCACCTGAGCGGTGGAAGATTGCCGGCGGTGTAAAGGGACAGTGGGCTAAATGTCACTTGTCTGCAGAAAAGGCTCTGTGCCATTTGTGGTGGCTTTTCTCTTTCATAGCACTGATAACAGGAGGAGGACGTTGGTGAGCGGGTTTTGCTCGAAAGCGAGTCTTGGAGCGTCAGCTTTTTTTAGGAGAGGATCTTTCTCTTTGAACTGCGAGACTTTTGACACCGAGGGGATGCATGCTTGTGTATGTACGCATGCATTTCATACGGAGGCTGTAATCAAAGAAATTTTTTAAGTGAGGAATTCAAACGCTCAGAAGTTAGCGAGTGCTGGATGTACCGTTACTTTTTTTATTCGTCTCCCTTTGGTATTGAACCCTTGCAGGAGGCAGGAGCCTTCAGGAGGAACAGCACATGCTGCCAGGTTGAATGTGTGCAGCAGAGATGAATTTAGATTGCTCCAGGAGCTGCAAATGGGGCGTTTCCAGCACCTTGACTGCCCAGGGGTTCTCTCGATGGGCCTTTTTCAAGCTTCTCCCAAATGCTGCGCGCAAGAGAGTTATCTTGCCTATTGCTGAATGTGTTGAGGAGCAGGGCCAAGTTTTAGGCAAACTCTTGTTCAACATCGTGGTTCTTAGGTTTCCAGACGTTTGAACAACGATGCTGTGTGCGTTATACAGGTGACTCCAGTTTTCTCTGCAGCGGTTGAATGGGAGGTCGTTATTCTTCGGCAGAAGACGACTGTTCTTTAGTAGAAGTCGCTGGATGTGCATCAGTTGGATGTGAAAAATGTGTTAAATTGTGCTTCCCTTCAAGTTTTCCCTGGATGAAACCTATTATTATTCAAAGAGACATATTTTTTTCAGCTAGTTTTAAGAAATTGTAGCTCGTAATTTTCCATATGTTTACTACTGGTTTCATTTAGAAAAGAGAAAAATACTTGAACAGAAAAAGTATTCACTCTGCGTTTTCTGTAGTACTTTTGGGCCTCTGCACAGCACGACTTCTACTCTGTCTAAAGCACACCTCGTATTCTGACCAGAAGTTTGCAAGAGATTTTCCTGTTACGTTTTCCCTGTATTCCGATGCGTGCTGGTGGACGTTGGTTGAAAATCAGCTAGGGTTTGTTAAAGAAACACAAGTTTTTAAGCTGCAATTAGTGAAACGTATCGAGAGAGTCTGTTCTGTTGACACCTGACAAACAGTGCGCTTACCACAGCTCTTCGGCTTGTAGAAAGATTGTCGGGATTTTCGTAACAGCAGTCTGAGCTGTCTAGAAAGAGAAGAGACTTTTTTAAAGAAGGAGGAGAAAGACTATGCCCGTAATCTGATCGTTATAGGTAGCAGTCCTTTTACAAGACGCGTCCCCTGGGATCGTTGGTTCAGGCTAACGGTTTCCGCGCCGAGAATCTGCTCTGTATCCAACCTGTCTGATACAATTGCTTATTTGATGCCAGATCTTACTTTCTCTTCTTGTTTTTCTTCCCCTTTCAGAAGATTTTCCTGCTTTTGAAACACTTTTTTCAGTAGTGACCTGAATTCAGGGGTTGTCTCAGTTCTTCATTAGCGCCTCCAAACTGCCCGGCTCGCTCGTTGTAGTTTGCTTTTGCGCTTTCGTTCTCGCGCGGGTGGAGGCATGGGGATCTCTGGAGCTGAGCACCCGGGACCTGTGCCTTATTCTGACTTTCTCCTTCACAGAGCTGGTGCATCGACGCCTTACCAGCTTCAGCACTGCGACGCGATGAGCCCAGTGACGAGTGGGCTGCTCCATGGATAACGTGGTGTGTTCCCCTGCCTGTATGTAGGAGAAGGTCCAGCTAGCAAGCCAGAATCGAGGAATTCAAAGAAACAGAGAAGAAGATACTGTACGTTGAGTTGGAGGCTTTTTTGGAGACTGCATCCATCTGGAATTGAAAGGTTTGTGCGTTTTTTAAGTCTTTGATTTATCTATTTACTGAGCTGTTAGAGATATTCAAGGAGGACGCTTTTTTAAATGGATGACTTTTGTTGAGTATGTTCCTAAAGTTGTCTGAAGAATCACACACGTTAATGTACTTTTGTTTGGTTGTTTTATTTAGAATTTGTTTTAGAGCAGTTCCCGTAATCAAGTGTCCTTTTAATAGCAATTTCCAAGGAGATTGACTCTTAGCTGACAGGTTAGTGAAAATAACTGAAGAAGTGTGGAGACAGAAGAAAACGCTTCAAAACAGGAGGCAGAGTGGAGTGACAGAAAAAGAATAAAACAAAATCCTTGGTAGGAGGCTGAAATCGGACAAATACAGAATAGACATAATGAATAAGAGTTAAGTATTGGAAGGACTAGCATAGAGATGGCATCAGTTACCCCCGTGCTTGTTGCCTTTAAATTAAAACTGCGTATAACTCAAAAAAATACCGCCATGAGAGTAAGTAAGATATTTTTAACTGTGTTTTGCAGGGGATGACCAAGCAGGTGAGGGCATCGTTCCCTTCTAGTCTTTTGCTGTTGGTGTGAAGCCAGTAGAAAGTATGGTTTACATGGCTTAAATCCTGATGTATAAAGTTATAGCTGGTAACTAGCAGTGACGAAGGACCCGGTAAAGGCTATATTCAAAGATGCAGAAACAAAGTGCAAGACAGAGGGTGAATTATGTTAGAAACGATATTCCCCGCGTGCTTGAAAAGAGGGAGAGCTGTGCAGGTGGAAGGCATGGCATGTTGAAGGGGCAAGGGAAAAGGTGCCAGGTGGAAATGGAGCCCGGATGGAAATCTTGACCCAGTGGTGCATTTTGTTGGTCAAACAACCTTCTTCTACCGCTGTCAAAAGTTAGGTGTTTCCTGCTGGAGGAACAAGTAATCTTCCAAGTGGGACATTTAAATATTTGCTCATAGGGTAGTTGCCTGAAAGGGTGCTGACATCGCTGCGTGGGGAATGTGTGTTATTAAATGTTGTAAAAGATTTTACAGTCTGTGTTCTTGATAATCTGGGTAGTACATCCTGAGCTTGCTTTGTGGCATCATCTAAAACTTGGTGTAATTACGTCATATGCATAAGATTACTATACTCTCGCTTCATTCCTGTGTCAGTCAACATGATTGATTAACTTTCACGCTATTGGTTCTGTCGAGGTTTTATAAATATAGCTGAGATTGCTCTTACCAGCAACTGACAAAACAAAGACGGATTTAAAAAATAATAATAAAAGTAGTCTTTTAGCACGCTAGCTCTCAGGTGACGTTTCTTCTGCTGAGGTTTGTCCAGTGAACCTGCAAGGCCTAGCGTACCGACGGGAAAAAAGCTGTGCGTGTTTTATGATTGTACTTTTTTCTTTCAGCTGCAAAGGGCAGTAAAATAATGTATTAGTGGTAAACTGCCGCTATTTGGTAGTGGGAGAAGAGCAGCAACATCTTTTCAGTGCCGTGAATTAATGAGAGCTTACGTATAAAACTTAGCAAGTTGATTGTGTTAGCTGATAGGATAACCTGGCAGGTATTATTTGGGTAATAAACTTTTTTTTTTTCTTTTCCCCCTAAAAATGTAATCTGTTAGAGAAGTGTAGCTAGAAAGTTTTAGGTTGGTTTTAATGACACTGTTTTAGCAGCATTTCTCAGAATAACAAATACTCAGTTATAGCACCTGAAGATACAAGAAACAAAATCTGAACTGCCGAGGCTAGTCTTTATTAATGTTTTGAATTTCACTTAATTTTGTTAAGGCTACATTAAACTATATGAAGGCTAGGTGTATTACACTATATCAAGGCTACGTTTGTTGGGCAAAGTGACTGAATTAATGGGCATGACAAAATTCTGAGAAGTTATAAAGGTTTTTTTTAATCGTTACATTATAATTTTTCTATTATCAAGTTGCAGCATTAAAATACAAAAAATTGGGAATGTAGAAGGTGTGACTGAACGGAAAATGTCCATAAGGATTCTGAGGTTCCCATTTGTTTGAGGTTTATGTTGCAGCAACAACCAAACCCCAGTTACGAGTCAAATGAAACTATTATAAAACAGATAACTTAGAAGAAAAAAAAACCCAGCTAATGAGTGAAATGAAAGTATGAAACTCAAAGCAAGATTTTCAGAAGGGGGGAAGCTTACAAAAAATACTTACTTTTTAAAAACCAAGTATTGACCAACCTTAAAAAATGAATCGTCCCAAGCACTTTATCGAATTGTGCTGTAATCTTTCACAAAGGAAAGACCGTTCTTGTAGGCTTTTGTTCTTTCTATTTGCAGGCTAAAATCAATTTTCCCAATTGTTGCCTTGGATGTATTGGTTAACGTGAGCTTTGGGATTAAATAAATAAAAATGCTCCTCTGCAGCAAAGTATTTTCTCAACTATTGCTCGTTCGTTATTAAACGGATAGGGCTCTCCTACCCCCCCCCGTAGCTAGCAAGCAGCACGTCTGTTTGCACAATCAAAACGCAGAAGCCAAGGGGGAAGCAGCTGTGGCTCCAGCAGCGTCATTTAGGAGCTGGGACTCCACTTTTCAGGCGTTTTATTGATAAGCAACATGTCCAAAGCCAACACAAGTTTGACCATTTGATTAGGACAGAAGATCTTAGTTTCTAGCTGGTGACTGAGAGCAAGGAGATCAGATGCTAAAATCCTGTCTTGTCAACGCTGTATTTCTGTGAGTTGCAGGTTTTTACCAGTTGCGTTCTGATGTTATTGTGCAGGTGTCCTAACGTGCGGCTAAGTGCCCTCGTGTTCTCGGGGGGTGGGGGGTGTGCGTTTTGGGGGGCGGTTTTGTTTTTTAATGAACAATAGTTTATCAGTCTCCTGGCTTTATCATCTGATAAATTTTCATTCTTGTTCCAGCTCATAAAAATGAACCGACCCAGTCCGTCAGGCCAACTTACTACCCAGCTGTCCAGGGGAATTTTGGTGAATTTTAAGTCATTTTGGCTAGTTGTGTTTTCAGCCTGCTTTGAGCTGAATTTTTCCGTATTTAAAGCTTATGTTATTTTCATCGCTTGCTTAAGAATGGGGTAAAAAAATAACTTGTGTTATATGGGGAATTTGCTTTTTTATTTCTTTTTGGGGTCCTTGGAGGCAGATACGAGGCCTAGGCTACAGGTTTGTGTCCCAGTAGAAACGCAGAGGGGCTGATGAGCTCTGGGCAGCGCTGGAGCAGCTTGGCCCGCGCACAGAGCTGCTCGGGGTTGTGCTGCTCCAGTAGGTTTTGAGGCACGCTGTTGGGGCGTTACTGTGGGATCTCATGTCAGCGGCACAAGCGGGATGTGGTGATGTCAGACCATGCAGGTAACGAGTTGCCAGGTCTCCTGGGGCCCCGTTCGCTCTCCGATGGAGTAGCATGAGAGAGGAGAAATGGCCCTGGCCCTTCAGAGAGGCGAAAGTCCCTTTTCAAGAGCTCATTTGAAAGATTTCCTGCTGTTATTTTGATCAGTAATCACTTGAAATTGTAGTTGTTGAAGTGGGATGAAAATGTAAAGCTTGTCTGTCTAAAGGATGATGCTTATTGGATGCAAAGGGTTTTCGGAGATGGTATATGTATTTATGAAGACTTGGTACTGGAGGGAAGGCTAAGAGAAGAATAAATAAAAAAGAAAACACAAGGTGGATGTTGAGTGATGGTCTTCCCAACAGTTTTCCTGGTGTTTCTGTTTTGACACGGTTAATACATTTATTTTTTCCTTACCATGTTAGCATGTGGACAGATGGTTTTAGATGTCACGGCAAGTCTATATCCATATGAAGTCTCTGTGAACTTTTTTTTTCCTTCTAGGCATTTCTTGCAGAATGTATGGATGAATTTGTGAATTTTTTTAGGTTTTATGCTTTTTTTGTGACGATAATTTTAGTGCCAGTCATAAGAATGTCTACAGGTTACGAGACAGGTGTCTTGACAGCAAAAAAGGATGTCAAGTAGAATTATTGTTGTGGTTGCTGTTATTTATTAGCACATCAGTGTGTGTAGAAATGTTACTTAAAAAATTTGAGAGTTGTAGCGTGCTGCTAGTTAAATTTTTTTCCCAGATCTCTTAGAGTGTATGCCTAGACAGCAAACAACAGCAAAAAGAATTGAAATAAAAAGCGGTTATACCTAAAATGAAGAGTATTATTATACTAAACACATTTAGCATAAACTCTCTGATGCTGTCTTTCAGTCATGTGAATTAAATTGTTCCCAAGCGCTGTGCTCACACCGCTGTTTTCAAGCAGCGGACGGATGCTTGTGTGATGTTGCTGCCAACCGCGGGTAGCACTTCGGTCACGAGGGAGGTTTCCAGTAGAGCTGCACGAAACAAACATCATCCTATTTTCACCTTTGTGATGCCTTTTTCAAGTAAAGTTTTGTCACAGCGGGCCTCTCTTCCTACCCTGTGCGTTGATCTTGCAGGCCGACCTACGGTAGGTGCATCCAGCTCCCGTTTTGTTAGTGGGACGCTTTTGTGCCCGCTGTAAGGCATTACAGGCCTGTCATTTCTGCTGAGACTTTAGCTGATACAGTAGAAGTTGTAATCATAGTGACTGCAGAAATATGGCAACTTTAATGCAGGGGATTTGATGACCCTTGGTTGAGTCTCTAGTGCCGCTGCGTCGGCGGTGGGTACTGAGGGCTCTCGTGCTCTCTCTTCCTTATCATCACCCTGTCCACAACTGCAAGCTACAGGGGCAAAAATTTCTTATTACTTCATTTGGTCATAGCAGCTTGTGAAGAACAGATCCCTCCTGTAGGCTCAGATTTTTTTCTCCTTCCTCCCAGTATCGCTTCAATTTTGCGTCCTGAGAAGCAGCTCTCAGGGCAGCACCTGCTTCAGCTGTGGAGTGGTCCTCCCTGCAAAGTGGCTACTTCTGTGGTTATGTTGCTTAAGATTACATTCATGTTTTTCATCTCTTCCCAGACCCTTTTTTATTCTCTAGCGTATTGAATGAATTCCAGGGCTCAGGCTCACGGAAGCA